CAATTCTCTAATTTTGGTGAATATTTTTGTAATTTTTGGTAAAAAGTGATATTTTCGACTTCTTGTTAAAAATCAATAGTTCAATTGCTTTGATATTACATATATAGATACTACATGTAGACCTTTCTCTGATTTGTTCATTTTGTGATGATATCTTCAGTTCTCTAATTTTGGTGAATATTTTTGCCATTTTTGGTAAAAAGTGATATTTTCGACTTCTTGTTGAAAACTGTAAGTCCGATTGCTTTGATATTACATATATAGGTACTACATGTGGAACTCTCTCAGATTTGTTCATTTTGTGATGATATCTTCAATTCTCTAATTAATTTATTTTGGTGAATATTTTTGTAATTTTTGGTAAAAAGTGATATTTTCGACTTCTTGTTAAAAACTGTAAGTCCGATTGTTTTGATACTATATATATTGTTCATTTTCTAATTATATCTTCAGTTCTTTCATTGAAATGTGCATTGCTAACAGCGGAGCTATCTCAGCTGATAGGCTGCTTGTTTTTGTATTTTTATCCAATTTTTAAATCAGATATATTACTTCATAGGAACTATTTTTTATTGCTCTACCCCAGTCTAATCACATAGTTACAAGAATCTTACCACCAATCTTTTATATATTTTGATTTATATTTTGATGTCAACTTTTTTCTAAGTAAATCAATTCAAATATCTGCTCTCATGATTACTGATTTTTGTTTGATATTTTTATACCACTTTAAAGGATCTGAGATGGCGTAGACAGGTACATTCGCAGGTACACTCACATCATATAAGTACACACATACAAGTCTCTGATGACAAGAGATAGACCTTCTTCATTTTCATTTGAGAGTAAAAAAATCATAACGATCACTTTAATGGCTTGCTGGATTAAAGTCTTTGAGCGCTCAATACTATAACATTTATTTTCACTGGCAATTAATTTCACAAATTAAATGTATTAAGCAATTTCACTGTATTATAAGTTCACAAATTTGGCAAAGAAACAATGAGTTCTATTGTTTATTTACATGTTTAATTCGGCGAATATTACTTATCAGTGAAAATAGCAAAATTAAAAATCATTACTTCTTCAACACCAGAGGGCGCTGTCATGTTTTACATTTTAGTTTCACTCCTGTCATCGGGGCATGTATTTTTTATAGACAGTAATTAATCTACTCCTAGTATTGGCATGTTTATCTCCAATACACACCGTGTTTGCAGTATAATTTTGAGTTGTTTTTTTTAGCCAAATTTTATTATCACCAAGCATAGACTTTAGTTTGAGTTCTTACAAGGAATAAATTAACAAAATCCTGAAATTGAATTATGGGTAATAACTTCCATGTCCATATACATACATGTTTGCATTCAGTTTGGAAACTATTGTCTTATAATACTTAAAAAGCAATATTGAATTCATATCAAAAACAATTCTCAAAAAATGAAGACTAAATAAAAAAAAATTAAATTTGTAAGAACTCTAAGATAAATGTTTTCGATATTTTTGTTTATTTATTAACCGTTTATGTTTTACCGGGACCAAGGTTTATAATGTTCTTAACTATTTTATGACCTTTCACCCCATTCATTTATATTTGTGTGTGTGTGTTTGTTTATTTTCTCATTTCATTTTCCCCATTGGGGATGAAAGGAAATGCATTATGGGTATTTTTTTAACAATTTTTCTCTTCATTTCAGAGTCTGTCTCTTTGTCCAGAAGATGAATCTCTCCTCCTCTCATCGTTGGTCAATACCATACAGTCGCTAAGCATCAAACAAGGTATTTTTCATTCAGTCGTCTATTTCTGTACACTGCAAGAATTACATCACCCAAAAGCAAGCAAATGTTTGGGTTAGCGATATGCTTTCTTTTAAAATGAGCTACTGTAAATCATGGGACAAAAAACAATCAGAAGCATTGTTTACAAATCCATGTACAGATTAAAATGATTTACTTTTAGTAGGCACTTTCTGATTGTGGGATACATTGTATTATGCTGAGATATCGACATCAGATATTAAAGTCTGTGAATTTTATAACTTATTAAGCTTGTATTGTATTGCAGTGGAAAATACTGAAGTATTTGACTTCCGAGGACTCAGACTGGACTGGTTTAGATTACAGGTAATTCAGTATTGTCTGTTGATTCTGATACTATCCTGGATTTTCAACTGACTTTATTTTTTTACTCCCATGTGCGAAGCACACAATGGTAGTTTTCACAGCTACCCTATTTGTGTATGTGTGTATGTCTGTTCCACTGAACCACTGATCAGATTTCAATGAAACATGAGTGCTCTGGGAAAAGAGACTTGATTAGTTTTGGATGAAAATCTGTGCATATTAATCACCTAATGTACATAATTAGTACATTTTTGTCTTTTCCACTGATATCTTACGTCCTGATCATCTCTGTTAATAAAACTTTGTACATACCAGTAGATGTCATAGGACAATGCACAGACCTGATAGGTTTTGGGTTAATATATGTGCATATTAATTATTTAATTATTATAATAATAGTTATAGTTAGTCAATCATCACATTTAAATGAAACTTGGTCTATAGAAGCCTTGATTAATTTGAGGTTGAAAGATGTACATTAATTATAAACTACAATACTGTGGATCACATTGTTTTCATGTTGTGCACCAGTCACTGGCATAGTGGTTGTCGCATCAGACTCATGATCAGTAGACTGAAGTTCAAATACTACCGTAGGCTGAACCAAAAGGGTCGACCCCTACCCTGGGTGAGTGTGCCACAGACTTAATGGGAAGGCCAATTCCACTGGCCTAGATTCATTCACTAATGAATGCGACTTTGGGGGAACCTTGGTTAAGGTCCGCAGGTGCTTGTGTTCGACCGAGCTTGGTTGACGTCAGGATAGCGCATTACATTGCCATTTGATAGGAAGATTGCCACACATCCCTGTCATGTAGTCCCAAACATGAATATGACTTCTGTGGCAAACATGCACTATGTTTCAGCACAAGCACTTGCAATTTTGACATACAAAAAAAAAAAAAAAGTCAGGAGAGACAACAGTCATATTCAATGTCTGGAACTGTCGCCTGGCACAAAAAATATGTGCATTTTAAATAGCAGACAAATATTAGTCGCCAAGCTTCTTGTTTGAAAGGCTAATCTTAAATTAGGAATTAATTTTGTCTGCAATACGCTTAGCAGGAGTTTTTTTTTGAACTTTCTTTGATTTTTGACTCCCGTGTGTGAAGCACAAAAGGGAGTCTTTGCAGTTACCCTGTCTGTATGTCTGTATGTATGTATGTATGTATGTATGTATGTATGTATGTATGTATGTATGTATGTATGTATGTATGTATGTATGTATGTATGTATGTAT